CATCTTATTTGAAATCAAACTATCTCTAGCCTAAAATTATTAGCGGCTTGCTCCCTTTTCTTTTTTTTTTGATTGTAAGCGACGTCGTCAACTTTAGTGTTGGTTAAGAGTGCATTTTCAGATATCGGATAGTATACGATCTGAAATTTAAGATATCCGAAAAATTCGGATCACTAAAACTGCGATCCATATCTGATCCAAAAATAATATGCTTACACTTGTCAATGTGTTCGATTTCATTTGATAATCTTCTTGTGAAGTTTTCAATATTCATATACTACTTTGCTGCGTTCTACTTTTTGTCAATGTGCAGATATACCAAGCGATGTTCTCCCAAACATAGTGATAAATCCTAGCATCTGTAACACTTCTTAGTTTCTCTTAGCTATGTACATATACTAGCAAAGCAGATTTATAAGTAATGTATAAGGAAACAAGCAGATTTAACAAGTAATATATAAAGAAATAAGATCAAAACTAACAAAGTTGCTGTGTGAAACTAGAGGGGATGAGAACTTTAGAAAATTACAGTTAAGAGTTGGGTTAATAAATTAATTATTTATTGGGCTATAATATAATTTGAAGGCCCAATTTTAATCTGATTTTTGGATAATTCAAAAGTAGAATTTATCGTCTGTATCTGATCCGATATTCAATTTTTTTAGATATCTAATCTAAATTAGCTAAAAAATTAAAAAAACGGACTGGATATCTGAATTGTCAGATCGATCAATGAATCATATCGGCCGGATCGAATTATTTTGCACACACCTAGTATTGGTCGCCGCCGAGTATTCTTTTATCTATTTTCTTATATCATCTTTGTTTTTCCTTTATTTCATTTACTTTTAATAGATTTGTGTTTATGACACGTTTTACTATATTTATAACATTTTTTTCTGTCTTTTGGCATGTTTTATGTCGTTTGACTTTGTTTTTGTTTATTTTTTTCAATGTTAGATCTGACATTCCCACGACTATCAAGATAAAACTTATTTGTTATCTGCTGATATTTTTACACAACATAGAGACCTATTTTATAAAAATAATATTGGCAAAAAGGTAAAAATTACCAAAAGTTGCTCCAATAACTATCGACAATCACCCAATAACAAAAATGTAGGTGAATCCACAGATACTAAAAACAATTTAATCCACAGATACTGGCACAATTCCAATAACTATCGACAATCACCCAATACAAAAATGATGCCAGAAACATGAGGACAATCAACAAAACATAGGCCACCACACAATTCAGGACAAACTTTTCAATGCATACGTTGCTCCCAACCAGAACAGGCTCATTCTCGGACAGAACTCCATAACTAGCAAATTATAAAAGTTGATAACAAATCCATAAAATGCCCAACAAAAAAAAACTATCTAAAACACTTAGTTGATGTTCCCAGCTTTGACATTCAGAATGGTTTGGATACGCAATTTGCGTTCGTGGATAATTTTCTCACGTCGTTTGACTTTGATTTGCTATTTGTCAGTGTTTTTTCAATGGCTCTACCCCTTTTGTGATTCGCTTGCCGATGCAGTCAAATTTGTTCGTATCTATCTTTTGTCCAAGCTTTTGGTTAGTTTTTTTTATTTTTTCCTTGTTTGGTCATTGTGTGATCTAGGTGACTAGTTTTTGTGTCAATAATTATATAAAAAATATCCTAATTATATGTTTAGTTTACTTTTATTCTTGTAAACCTTTGTTGTAATTATAGATATTTCATTTTTTTTAATAAAACTAACGAAAAAACAAATAAACTTCAACGATGAAAAAAGTTATTCTAAATTTTAATGATTGTTGGTGTAGTTTACTATCTAATAAAATAGCTTCATTTAATAATGTTTACCATTACAGATTAATCAATTTAATTGTAAATGGATTAGTTAGAGCTAGTATCTATGATAGGTGGATTAAATTGGTCGGTTTTATAATAGAGGGATTTGAATGGTATTTTGACCAACACTTTTACATATATATTCCTAAAATGTAGAAGGTTGCGTGTTCGATTCACGTCGGGTTCAAATCCTGATAAACTATGTATTTATAGTTTTTGTTTCATGCCCAGTTGACAACGTTTTTTGCCTTTCCTTTTTTAACTCGTAAAAGAATGCTCCTTTCTCGGTGATGACTGATCTCAAAATACAAAGACTGTTTGGTTCAACTTTCAAGTGTGTAGATCATGACAAAATAATTTCTTTTCGAAAACAATCAAAGTTGTTTTGTTTCCTCTTCTCTTAATACTAAATTGTTGCATTGTCGAATGATTACGAACGAGCGTACGTTCATGTTCATTCGTTTAATTTTAATTGAACAAATGAATGATAACGAACAACTAGATGAACATAATTTATTGTTCGTTCGTTAAGAAATATAACTTATTCATGTTAGTTCACATTTATCGGTAAAATGATAAATGAACAAAAACCACAACAACAATATCCACATAAAATACATTAATATGAGCTGCAACTTCAGAATTAACTTCAAAATTAATATAAACGAATAGATTACCGAATGTTCACGGATATAAATGAACGAATTAACCATTTCTTTGTGCTTGTTCATTTAATTAAATGAACATACAATCATATTCATATTTGTTCGTTTAATAAACAAACAAACTTTCTACTAAAAGTTCGGTTCGTTTACAATCCTACTTAGCATCGGACCTGTTATCAAGATGATAATATTTATAATAGAATTGAAGCAACTGGTTTATCGTATTTGTGGAATTAGCTAAACACTATGTTATAAGAAATTTGAGTTTGTAAAATCATGTTCGAATCTTATCACTATTGTGGACAATTTATAAATTCATATGTAAATCTCAATTGGGTCTTAGATATGTTCTGACTCTGGCCCTGGACTGAGGTAGCCACCCATAACCTAAACCTTTTAGTAGTAATCTCACATTCTCTTGCTGTTAAGTGAAAATTGTGGTGCATCTGTGTTTGATTTTTCCTAGGTTTTTGCAAGGGTTTGAGAGGAACTTGTGATGAATTGCATGGGTCACTTTTGCCACGTGCAAGTCTTCCCACCAATTTTAACCATGCAAAATTGACGTAAGAGAAGGGAAGGAAGGTCTAATTATAGTTTTAGTCCCTATTCTATATTTGGCATAATTTGATCCCGTTTTTATAATATTAATAATAAATATAATTTAATTGTTTTTCTTCAAACAATGCAATTTATATTAGGGTAAAACACAATCCATGTCATTCAATTACTATTTTGATTATAATTAAGTTTCTTTTTCACTAAAAGTTATAATTTAATGAATTAATCAAAATGTTATTATAAATAGATCACTAACCATTGAACATTAGTGGATACAACAAATACATTTGGTTGGTTGACCAAGCTGTCAGACACATTTATGAGATTTTGGTGGCCCTAGGGGGAACAACAAAGTTAGGCCCCTAATTAAATATTTAAATTACAATTTACATTTGTCTTCGATCGTGTTGCATTTATCACAGTTGTAGATATAGCAGATGATATTATGGTCAGTGAAAATATCGTAGTTGTGAATTTTTATTAACATATGATATTATGGGACTAAAGATATATAGATATCGCGATTTCGGACGATATTGTTACTACTACATAATGATTATTATTGTGGTTGCAGACCATTTTTTAAGTAGTTGTTCCTAATAACAAATGTTGAAAAAAAAAATTAAGGGTAACTCCATATAACAAGCATTGGAAAACTTGGTCTCTAATAACAAATATTTAAAAAAAAATTAAGAGTATGCTCATAATAATAAATATTAAAAAAATGGACTTCTAATAAAAAGTACTGAAAAAGTTAGACTCGTAATAATAACAAATAAATTTTAGAAAAGAAACTAAAGTTTAGAAGTACGTCCATGATAACAAATATTAAAGAAATTAGGCCCCTAATAACAAGTATTAAAAAATTAGACCCTTAATAATAAATATTAAAAAAATATTGGTAAACATTAGACACTAGTACAAATATTAGAGAAAAAAATAAACTATAAGAATAGGCCCCTAATAATATATATTAGGAAAATATGAACCTATAATAATAAATATTAAAATAAAAAATTAGGTCCTCAATAACAAATATTAAAAATAATTGGGCCCCATAATTTATATAAACCCATATGTTTATATAAATATAGTATATTATAGAAATTCTGGGCTCTGGGCAAGTGCCCCTCCTGTCCAGGCTCAAATATAACATTGCGAGTTGTTCATCTTTATTCACTCATATTTTATATAATCATAAGTTCTAAACTTACTAGGATTCTAAGTAAGGATATGATTAGATTTAAAAAAAATTCAAAAATTAAAGTAAAATTAATGGGCATAGCTTGATATAATAAGAATTTTAGTTTTAAAACTCATATATTCTATTAATTTGATATTAATTAAAAATAAATTTAATAATTTATTCATATTAAAAAAATCTAATCAATTGGGCGATTAAATTATAACTTTTAGGGAAAAAAACTCGTATATTCGAACTAATAATTGAGTTATCTAAAATGTATAATAATCTAGCATAAATAAGATTATAATCGAGTCGAGCCGAGCTTGAATTCGAGAATCATTGAGTTGAATTCTAACTTTTCGTGTGGAACTCATTGTGAGCACATGCATCCATTGAATACCAAAATTATGGAGAAGCTGTTGGGAGTTGGTCTCAGATTTGTTTAAATGGTATTTAAGTGAACGCGTCAGTTCTTTCTGTTTATACCAAACCTATTGAAAACAATTTTAACTCCCTTTCCTTTTAGTTTCTTTGCGTTGATCCCTTCTCTGTGGATGAAGCTAATCGAAAAACTTCCATATTTAGCAAACTGATAATACTGACCCAAGCTCTTAAACGGAACGTTAATTAAACCAGACTCCAGCCCTTGCTTTATAAGAACACACAGTTCTGGGTTTCAAAGCACACCTCTTTGTTTTCTTTGCCACCATTTTTAATAATTTATGGATTTGGAGATTGGGAAAGAAAATGAGTTGTTTCTCTTGTTGTGGAGTGGAGCTGCACCAACGTACTGGTTCTCTTCGGGAGAGTGCTTATGGTAGCATTGATAGCAATAACAATGGGAAATCACTGAGGTCTTTGCTCAGTAATTTGTCAGGCAAAACAGGTATTATTTGTTATCTTTTGATGTAAATGGAACCCAGATGATGTTGTGGTGCTTGTTTAGGTTCAGAGAAGAATGGTACTTGATTTGTGTGATGTTTCGTATTAGCATTACTAATTCTAGGAACTTTTGTTTTGATCATTTTAATCAATGTGCAGGAAATGGCAATCAGAAAATAGCTAAAGAGATTCAAAAAGTTGGAAAAGCTAAAGTTTCAGCTCATATCTTCACATTTAGAGAACTAGTTGTTGCTACAGACAACTTCAATCCTAGTTGTCTGATAGGGGAAGGTGGATTTGGCAGAGTCTACAAAGGATATATTGAGAACATTGACAAAGCATACATACATACATACATACATACATACATACATACATACATACATACATACATACATACATACATACATACATACATACATACATACATACATACATACATACATACATACATACATACATACATACATACATACATACATACATACATACATACATACATACATACATACATACATACATACATACATACATACATACATACATACATACATACATACATGCATACATGCATACATACATACATACATACATACATACATGCATATTGCTGATTGACCCTGAAAGTTAGCAATTTGTGTGCTTGGTTTAACTTCTTTCTTAGATTGTGGCCGTGAAGCAGCTCGATCGGAATGGGTTGCAAGGAAGCAGAGAATTCTTTTCAGAGGTTCTAATGTTAAGTCTGGTTAACCATCCGAACCTTGTAAACCTGATCGGCTATTGTGCAGATGGGGATCAAAGGATTTTAGTTTATGAATACATGGCAAATGGTTCTTTGGAATATCATCTTCTTGGTAGGTTAACATGGCTCTCTTTTCACTTATTTAGTACTCATTTATACCAGTGGATTCTGATTATGTTATCTGTTTATTTAGATGTACCTCCAGGTAAGGAGCCATTGGATTGGAATACAAGGATGAAAGTAGCTGAAGGAGCTGCGAAAGGACTAGAATACCTACATGATTTCACTGATCCGCCGATAATTTATCGCGATTTTAAAGCGTCGAACATACTACTAGATGGGAACTTCAATCCCAAACTCTCTGATTTCGGACTTGCAAAGTTAGGCCCTACCGGAGGGAAGGACCATGTATCAACAAGGGTCATGGGGACCTATGGCTATTGTGCTCCAGAATATGCAATGACAGGCCAGCTCACAACGAAATCCGATGTTTATGGTTTTGGTGTAGTGTTTCTGGAGCTCATCTCGGGTAGAAGAGTTATTGATATCGAGAGGCCGGAGGAAGAACAAAATCTGATTGCTTGGGTATGTTCATCGAGCCCTGAATCAGTTGTTAAGTTCTTAAATCTAGGTTTATAATCCATTATTCCTCAACACCTTGTAGGCAGAGCCGTTACTGAAGGATAGGAAGAAGTTCACGAAAATCGCGGATCCACTGCTCAAAGAGAACTACCCTGTAAAGGCTCTTTATCAAGCTCTTGCAGTCGCAGCCATGTGTCTTCAGGAGGATGCTAACAGCCGCCCGTTGATCGGTGATGTTGTAACCGCCGTAGAGTTTCTTGCCAAACCAAAGAACAATGACAAAATTACTGCAGAATCACAAAGAAACAATGGTTTGCTTGTTAAGCCACTGAGAGAAGGAAGTTTCAAACGTGATCGTAGCTTGTAGTCCGGGGGTGAACAATCTTGAAGCTTGAAGAAATTAAACAGCTGAATAAGCAGAACACATAACAACGTCGTAAAAGTATAAATTTCCGTATATTTCCTGTAAAAATAGTACTCTTGTATATGTAATGAATTATAGGCATACAACAACTTCGGCCCCAGATTCTTAAAAGGCCTTAATTAGATTTGCAGAAATCCAGATTGATTACAAACTAACTGACCCAAACGTTCTATTTCGAGATTGAATCGGAAATTTAATGGATTTCATTTCAAGAAAGGGCTGCTGTTAGCAAGGTTTCAAATTGCGGACCAAAAACGCGATAGCAGCTGTGATATTGTGGTAGCACCGCCGTCCGAAATCGGTTTTCATGATTTTTGCGGTGGGTAACGGATTCACACCAAAGGCGGTATGTCGCGCCCATAATTTAACGGGTAACAGTGGATTGCGCCGATCACGGTACGCTATAAGCGTTATTCCAACTGCAATTTTTTTTTTGTTTCAAAAAATGAAAGGTTGGGGAGGTGGAAGGGGGAGTTGAGAGTGAACATATTTTTTGTTTTGTTTCAGATAATGAAATCAGAGGGGAAGGAGGAAGGGGAGGCAGAAAGGTCGGGGAAGAAGGAATGTTACTTTATTTTTTTTATATAATAATTTTTAAAATATAATTTTAAAGGATATATTAATTTGACATCCCTCCCACTTTTAAAATTTATAATTTAATCCTTAGTTTAAAGTGTAAATTTTAATTTAGTCTTAATTTCAGTAATCTAAATTTTTTGTAATTTAAATTTTACAATTTTATTTTAATTATATTTAACTTAGTCATTTTAGGGTAAGTTGTGCAACATTTAAAAAAATTTACGACCGCGATACACGCAATGGCTGCGATGACATCCGTTATGTCTGCAACTGTGATAAAAACGACGCGATCGAAAATGTGATCGCGAACGCTATTTAAAACCTTGATTGTAAGAACCTTTTGCTTGCTGGCGATTCTTTATTTTTAAATGCTCTGCCAAGAAATTTTGGGTAAACTACACGGGAGACTACTGAACTATGGTAAAAAATTAATGTGACGGCCTAACTTTCAATTGAATCAATCAGACCACCCCAACTATTTAATTGATTCAATCAAACCATCGGCCGTTAATTTTTAACAGAGGTGATGACGTGTCCGTTAATAAAATTGATATAATTATATATTTGGTCATTAATATTTTCATATTCTATCAATTTAGTCACTATTTTAATTCAATTAAAAAAATTTAACTATCAAATTAAAATGTAACATGTGTCAAAATATGATTGTAAGATTTTATTTATGAATTTTAAATTATTTAATTAAATTATTTTTCTATCTAATCAAGTGGTAACATGTGTCACCACCAATTGAAATGAAAGTAAAGAGATAATCTTGTGCTCAAGGGGAATCAAATTAGGGTATTAGGGGATAGAGCAACCAGGCGCCCCAATAGTTTAAAGTTACAACAATTTGTATTTGTTTTTTAGAGGTTTGTTAAGGATAAAAAATTAAACAAATTATTTTTTTAAATAAATTATTAAAAATTAAATAAATTATTCACAACTAATTATTATTTAAATTAATTGTAAACTATTTTTTTGAATTAAAAGATATTCAATTGTTATGTAAATTTAAAAATTTAAAAAAATTCGGTTAATTGAAAAATTGATTGAATTAACCAAAATTTGTTTGGTTCGGTTATTAATTTTCAAATAAATTTCGGTTTGGTTACGGTTAAAGAAGAAAATTTTGATTAATTCGGTTATAGTTAATTTGGTTCGGTCGGTGACCGAATTAACCGTTTGAACACCAGTTGTAAACTTTAAAAGACAAATAATTTGTTTGTTAAGGATAAAAAATTAAACAAATTATTTGTCTTTTAAAGTTTACAACTACGGGTGTTCAAACTGTTAATTCGGTCACCGACCGAACCGAATTAACTATAACCGAATTAACCGAATTTTTTCTTTAACCGTTAATTGAACCGAAATTTATTTGAAAATTATTAACCGAACAAATTTCAGTTAATTCGGTCAATTTTTGAATTAACCGAAATTTTTAAAAAATTTCTAATTTATATAACAATTGAATATTTTTTATGTATTTTATAAACTTGATGTTATTTTTTTAATAAAAAAGAGTTGCGAGTTTTAGTGGATGGAAGATCCACCCCATATGTAGATCATTTTGATGCAAAAATTTTGAAAAAGGACAAAAGTTTGATAGATAAAAGGATATCAATGTCATTTTCCTCTTTACTAGAGTTTTTAATATTTTATTTGATGTTAGTATGAATTCATCAAAGGAATGGATAGACGACAAAAATGTTATAGCTAATGGGGCATTAATGTTATAATTTTTATTTAATGGCCATGTGATTCATAATATGTTTTATTGTTTTTTCCCCATAGAATAAAAATGTATGCATGTATATTTATATTATATTATATTATATTATTAAGCTGCAATGTTGTATATAAATAAGTGTAGGCAAGCAGATATGTAGAGAAGCAAATAAAAAACGTAAGTTTAGTTGAGCTAACAACAAATGGCTGCTCCTACTACACCCACAAACGTCGTCCTTGATAATCAGAGTGGCGACACTTTAATGTTGGTTTCGTCGACCTATGAAGGCGTTCCTAGCGTGATTAAGAGTGGTGCATCGCGTTCTGAATTCCCGCAGGATACAGAGCTCAATGTTATCGCATCTGTTGTGTATGCTATCGGAAATATAGCCACGTTGGTCGTTGTTTGGACGGCTAATAACGAAGTAAATATTATTATCTCACTTGCTAATTATATTATTATTTTATGTAACAATTGATTCTTTGTTTAATTATATTGTTTTATTTTGTAGCATATATAATAATGAGCTCATTTATCAATGACAGGTCGCTACTGTTATGAAATTCGGGTTAATTTCCACCAATAATAGATTCACCTTGAAAACTATTATCTAGGTGACTAGTGTGAAAACGATTGTACTAAAAATCACCCCAAGGTAGATTCCCAGGAAAGAGGAGGGGTCACAATGGTCCCTCTTAAAACCCACTTTCCTTAGACAAAACTACCAAGACAAGTAATTTTAATAGGACAATAATTGACAACAACTATACCCGACAATAGCTATTAAATAGACATAAAAGAGAACACCAAAAATATTTCACTAATAGAGGAAATATTACAAAGAGAGAAAGAATACAAATAGCCTTTAAAATAGAAGAAGGCTTATATTTGTGGGATGATTAACTAAGGAGGAGGAGGGCTTTATTTATAACAAAAGAATTTCCCCTCCTCCTTATACACAACCAATGTGGGACTTTTGCCAAAAACCAAAAAATCTCCACCTTGGCAAATTCCACACACATCTCTAAAAAAAAACAAATCTTTTAATTTGTAACAATATTGACCAAATCTAAACAATGTTTAAACTTGACCGCAGTTACCACTTTTTTCAACATATCAGCAGGATTCTCAGTGGTCCGAATCTTCTGGATTATGACTCCACCTTCTTCTAGAATCTCTCGTACAAAGTGATATCGAACATCGATGTGCTTCGTCCTTGCATGGTAAACATGGTTCTTTTCTAAATGAATAGCACTCTGACTGTCACAGTGCACTTTGATGTGCTTTTGTTCCATTCCCAATTCACCAAGCAACCCTTGAAGCCAAATTGCCTCCTTCACAGCCTCTGTAACTGCCATATACTCTGCCTCTGTAGTAGACAAAGCCACTGTTGACTGTAAGGTGGACTTCCAACTGACTGGTGCCTTTGCAAATGTAAACACATAACCAGTAGTTGATCGACGCTTGTCCAAATCACATGCATAGTCTGAATCACAATACCCAACTACACACTGACCATCTTGTTTGTCCTGCTGAAAGACCAAACCAACATCTACGGTGTTCAGAATATACCGCAGAATCCATTTCACAGCTTGCCAATGCTCCTTTCCAGGATCATGCATATACCTGCTCACAACCCCAATTGCCTGTGAAATATCGGGTCTCGTACACACCATTGCATACATCAAGCTACCAACAGCACTTGCATATGGAACCTTTGACATGTATTCCCGTTCTGCATCATCCTTAGGTGACATGGATGCACCGAGCTTGAAATGAGGAGCAAGAGGTGTACTAACTGGTTTTGACATCTCATTTATGCCAAAACGTTTTAGTACCTTCCTCAGATATTCTTTCTGAGACAAACAAAGCCTCCCCAATTTCTTATCCCTTGATATCTCCATGCCTAGAATCTTCTTCGCTTCACCAAGATCCTTCATCTCAAACTCCCTGTTCAATTGAGTCTTTAGTTTCGCAATTTCTGTCTGACTCCTGGAAGCTATCAGCATATCATCAACATAAAGAAGAAGATATATATAGGATCTGTCTTCTAGCTCGCGTAAATACACACAATGATCATATTTGCTTCTTGTGTACTTCTGCCCTATCATAAACTTGTCAAATCGCTTGTACCACTGCCTTGGATATTGCTTCAATCCGTACAACGATTTTTCTAATTTGCACACCATCTCTTCTTTTTCAGCAACTTTGAATCCATCTGGCTGAGTCATGTAGATTTCCTCATCCAAGTCTCCATGTAAAATGCAGTTTTTACATCCATCTGAACTAGTTCCAAATCCAACTGCGCTACCAAAGCCAACAAAATTCTGATGGAGGAATGTTTTACAACTGGAGAAAATACTTCATTATAATCAACTCCCTCCGTTTGAGCGTAGCCTTTAGCCACCAATCTTGCTTTGTAGCGGATGTTATTCTTGTCAGGAAATCTATCTTTCTTTGCATATACCCACTTGCACCCAATTGCCTTCTTTCCCTTCGGAAGACTAGCTAGTTTCCACGTCTGATTCTTTTGAAGGGATTGCATTTCTTCATTCATGGCAATCCTCCACTTTTTATGTTCTGAACTTTTAACTGCTTCTTTAAAAGTGGCAGGAACGTCATCAATTGCAATTGG